AAGGGAGGGCAAACACATGCAATTCCTGGTGCCTCTGCCCTCTCTGACTGTGGAATTGGGAAAGAGTGGAAGGTGGGTACAGCTGAGGTGAGTGTCATCCTGAACAAATGCTATAAATCAGAATTCAAAATCAGATTGTTCTGTACATACTATCGATTACCTCTGCTGAGTGCTAACCAAGCAAATCAGGCTTTTGCAGCACTGATATGATAAGTTCAGGCCTGTGATTTGAAAAGGCAAGATTTGGCACTAAGTAGGAGCTGGGTATTCTGCCTCAGTTCCCTCCTCTGCTGGGGGCTCCTCAGGTGCCACTGGGCATATTTGAGTCTTTCCCTGCATCAGTTTCCACACTAACACAAGGATGGCATTAACAGTAGGTTGGAGGCTGGTTTTGGGGACTGTCCTGTGCCACATGGGAATAACTTTGGCTGAAAATAGCCATTTCAACAGCTGCCTTGGACGTACTTGAGACACTCTTGGTTTCAGCCAATGAAATGGCACATGTCATAAAAGCAGGAATGAACTCTTGACATTTCTGGAATATGTTAATTTGTGTCCTTTAGCCAAAGAGGATGGAAGGGAGCACTACAAATTACCTCGTTTTGTGGTTGTGCTGCCATCACCTGCTTTTAACTAATCCCCTTATAGCTGGGTTTTATATCAAAGACACAAAAGATCCAACTTGAAACCTGCCTGACCCACTGAGAGTGGGGAATTGGCTTGAGGTGCCCTATTACCTTGATTATTACTGGATTTTAAAGCCCTTCCTGCTGTCTTTTGAGTTCAATAGTAACCCAATAGCTTTAAGAAACTGAACAGAGGGTGTCTTAATTTCTTTTGCATCACAAGAGCAGTGGAAGGCCATGCTTTTATTTATATAAGGGAAATAACTTTTTCTGTCAATTTAATGGACAGTCTTGGAAAACCTGCTGCAGGTTATTGGTGAGATTTTCTCATTATTTTCTTTTCTAAATTGCAGTTGCCATTTTTATCACAAAGAAATCTTTTAAATACAGTTGCAGATAGCAGTGTAACTCAAGCTCTCAAGGACATCAGTGGGGGGGTAGTAGCGTCTTTCAGCAGTAAGATTTTGCCTTTGCTTCCAGAAAGGTGTAATTTTTTTTTTTTTTTAATATATCCAGTGTAATTAACACAAGAGCTATCCCAGGGTAGAAATAATTCACTCTGTGACATAACTGAAATGTCTTGTCTGTGCTGTCTGGTTTTGTTTTTAACCTTGGGCTTAAAAGGAACCAAAAATCTCCAGTTTTAAAAGAGCACATCATGTGCAGAATATTATAAGCCATTTATCTTTATGCACAAATGCCACCTAGCAGTGCAGCTCCACTTCTGCATCATTAAATGCACAGACCACACTCATTTTGCCCCTAACTAATAACAGTGTCCCCTAGGAAGGCTGGGTATTCCCAAGAGCCCTGGAAGAGGCAGAAGCTGGTGCTCAGCAGGCAGAGAGGCTGCTGCCCTCCCTGAGGCTGTGCTCAGGGCTGCTGTGCAGCTGGAGCCGGAGCTCTGGCATTCAGTGCCTGGCTGCAGGGAGCTGGGGCTGGCTGGGGTCACAGTTCTGGTTTGAACCCTGCGTTTGTCAGCCCTTTTCCTGCCTGCCCTGCTTTCTCCAGGCAGCGTTGAAGCTGTTTGGGTTTAGTCTCAGGTGAGCCCGAGGTCCCGGCAGGGGCTGTGCTGGTGGGAGCAGCCCCAGCAGCAGTGTGGCTGGCTGGGTACCACGGGCACCATCGTCCCCTGCTGCTTGAGGCCCTTCTGACAAGGAGCAAATTGACCAAAGCAGCAAATAGCCTCTTTGGAGAGTGAGAGTTGTCTGACAGCCCTCCATGTAAGTGCTCCTGTCCTTGTAGGTAAGAGCTCGGTAAGTTGTTCCAGCTGAAGGCTTGCCCCAGTAATTACTCCTGCCAGACAAGCACTCATTCACTGTGAAAGGAGGTTTCTTCAGCGTTGGGTAGATGCCAAGTTAAACTTCCACTAAGATTTCTTATATTTGCAGCCACAATTGATTACTTTTCTCATTATTTGATCTTGATATAGAGACATACAGACTGAGCCGTGTTTGTATTAACCCACAAAGATTTTTTTTTCTTTAGGGACATCCATCACAGTTGCATGCAAACTGTTCTGCTCTGGCACTCATAGCTGATACTAGCTGGGTTTTTTTCAGAATTGCTGCATGTGACAATTGGTATGGATTTGCCTAAAGAGCCACAGTGTTCCCAGCTAACCAAAAAAGCAATAGTGGTTTGTTAGATGTGCAGAAAATCGCATGCAAAGAGCCCTGGAGAGCGTGGGGCATGGTTGTGCATAAACCTAACTTTTGGAAAAGATTTTATGAGTTGACTCCAAAGTATTTGCCAGTTACTAATTTTATATATGCAAGAAAAATTCTGAGGGAGGGGGAAAACCCCACCCTTTTTCACCGCTGATTTTTCAGGAAATTTAATGTTAAAACTTTTAGAAGAGAAGAGGCTCTTGGATGTGAAAAATACCAGAGTCAATTGCCATTCAGTTTGCATTATTTCTGATGTAACACTTTACCCAATAACTGGTCTTATTGTTTTCTACTCAGTGGTTTTAAATCAGTGGTCTGCAGATTCCTGGGGTTCTTGGACAGCTTGGGATGCCTGAAAGTTTTTTTAAGAAAAGGAGGTCTGTTGTTAATGTGCTTGATTTGTTGTCCAAGAATCTGCTCCATCCCAGGAAAACATTTTGTGTGTGCACAAAGCTCAAAGATAAAAAATAACTGTGAGAGTGAAAAAGCTCTGAGGCTGTTTCCCTAGAGAGAAGCTGCTAATGAAACCTCTTGTTTCTGTTTTTGGTTATTATTTCCAATTTGTTAGACCTTGTCATTCTTGGTTAAATCTCAGTTGATGGAGGGCTGGAGTGAGAACTTCCACCCTTTTTCCTTTCCTCCTCCTGCCTTTCCAAGCAGGTAATTTGCCTCCTCCTCATTTCTGTGTTTACTTTAGGTGAACTGCCTGGTCAGGCTCTCCAAAGTGACGGAACACGTAATTGTGTTCAGCTGTTTGACATACTTATGTAGATAGCAGGATATTGGTATTTAGCTTTTTCTGTACAAGGCTGAATTCCATGAGTTCTTCAGGGTATAGAGTATGTAGAGGGATAAGTTTGTCATAGTTTCTCAAAAATAGAGGTAAATGCCACCGCCCTTCATTTCACTGGTCTGTAGCTTTATTTCTGGGCAGTTTGTATTTAGGAGGCTTATAAACAAATCCCTACTTTTTTGGTAATGTTTGAAGGCGGTGGCCAAATCTGTGTTCAATATGCAGAAGGTGGGAATTCAGATGCTGTTATCAGTGTTGTTGCTGCCTCAGCTCCCCTGTGGAAGCTGTTCCTTTCCAGCAGCACAGAGGTCTCTGGAGCTACAACAGGACAGAGGTGCAGGTGTAGCATGCCAGGGGTGGGGACTGGCACTCAGTCACACCTTGGCTGCAGACCTGTGTGTAAGAGCTGGGTCACATCTTTCCTTTTTCTGGCACCCTTGTTCTTATGCCAGCTGGAGTGAGGGTTAACAGGGAGCCCTCCTCCTACACCCACATAATTGTAGGGCTTTGCTCTTGCCTCTTGTTTGCTTTGGGAGCTTTTCTCCATGGGCACTTGGCTGCAGAATTGCCTGTCTGGTGTCAGAGGCAGGTGCAAGCCAGTGGCACAGAGCTTGCATGGGCAGAGCAAGACAATTGTGTCTTCCCCTGAGAGCAGGAGTCTGGGAAAGGTTTCCTGTGTACATCTAGGTATCCTCTGATCAAAAGGCTTTCAGATTGCTAGTACAAAGGGACTGTTATCTTGCTGGTGAAAAATTACAAGTATTTGCAATCAGTTTGCATCAATCTCTTTGGGGTATTGTGCTGTGCTGATTTAGTAACGTGATAACTTCTGGCACTGCTGCAAAAAGACAAAATAATCCTCACCATCAGCCTGCAACAATTCGGTATTTTTGGTACCACTAGAACATCAGTCTTAGAAACAGGACTGCTAAGACTCCCTGGATCTTGTTTAATAAAATCATGTAGTGAGGGCATCATGATTATAAATCACACTTGGAAATTGGCCTGCAGAGTACTTGCTGGGTTATGTGGTGTCGTGTGTTCCTGGCTCCTTTTTAATTTCCGAAAAGAAGGCATATAGCAGCAGCTGCAGCTAGAGGTGGAATTCATTTAGCTGCTTCGAGAAAGCCACTGCCAGCAAAAACCCAGCAGCTCAACAGTCTTTGGTTGTAGAGAGAGGAAAGGGATCCAAGTGACTGGAGCTGGTGTAATGAGAAGGAAAAGAACCAAATGATTTGGCAGCATGTGAAAGAGGTAAGGATGTGTTAGAGAAAGGAGCAGGAGGAGCTGAAATGAAGAGCAGGAATAAACAATGTAATTTAACTTATTCAAAAGGGACAGAGTGCTTATTAAATCTCTGAGAGATGATAAATTAGTGCTTTGCTGCTATTGTTATTTCAGATAGAGTTGTCATATGGTAATGCTGCAGCAATGAAGGCTGGAGGCTCACAGATTCATGGAGGGGAATGGAAAGTGGGATATTTGGTTACATGATTGAGAGTTGGAGTTGATGAGGCAAAATGTGCAAGCCTGGTTCTGAAGAACATCCTTACATGTGCGTGCTGTTCCCAGGAAGCACCACAGGTCCTGAAGAGGGATGGCTCAGAGTGTGTGTCCTGCTGCTGTGAAGGCGTGTCCCACGCTGAGAGCTTTTACCTTGGTTGGGAGGAGCTGTTGCAGCCCTGCTCTGGTTTATGAACCCTGCCTGAAATAGCCCCAGAGCCCTCACCTGAAGTGCTCTCTGCCTGTTACTCCTGTGGCAGCACACAGAGTATCAGGACATCATTTGAAGTTGTGGAGTTTTCCCCTAAGGAATACTGGGCTGGGGGAGGGAATCGCAAAATGATTCTTATCTTACATTTCCCAGAATCTCTTGCATTACTTACTGTGGCATATTGTTTCCTCCCACAGAGTTCTGCTCAATCGCTTTCAGGAAGAGGCTACTCCGTAAGTCATTTTACAGCTAATTCTTTCACTTTGGTTGATGTTGATTGCAGAGGTTTACACTACCTGTTGCACAGCCACTGACATGGAAGAAATGCAGAACAGAAACAGGGTGAGAGCACAGGGCTGTCGTGCACCTGGCAGGGGACAGCCCTGACACGTGAGAGTGCATTAAGAGCCTGGGGGCCTCTTAATTTAATATTATACTTATAGGGAGGGTTTTTTTTGGTCAGTTTATGGTGTATTCCAGCTAGATAGTCACCAAGACATGAGTGGGGAGAGTTTTCAACACCAGCAGGAGATGCTTCCCTCCTCTACTCCCTCCCCCATACACGTTTTCATTTATGTGTTAAATACATGAATCAAATACACAATTGCTCCCATTTTACAAAGAATTGCAGCCCTCATCATTGTGAACAGCAAGAAAGTCAATATTCTCTTATTTATAAGCCTCTGAGTTACAAAACAAGCTTGCTTTTTTTCAGGGGAGGGTGTTGCTGATGTTTTCTTCACAGGAGTGCCACAATGTTTGAGGGTGGTATTACAGGGTCAGGACACGTCTGCCTGTGAATGCAATGTACCAGACATGTTTAATTGTCCATTTCTGTTCATATGTACCTTATTTGTATGTGCAATAATGACATTTCTTCATATAGAGGTGGATTGTTTGTTTTGGGAACATTTTCTGCTCAGCTGTCCAAAAAGGCAGGCACAGACATCACTGAGTAGAGTAATACAGAAATAGGAGAGGGTGTGAGAGGCTTAGCAAAGTCAACATGAAAATTCCTGGAATCACATTATATCTGACTCTCAAAACAAATGTATGGTGGGGAGATATGATACCCTGGTTATTCAGACAGTAAGTCATGTGGAGTGCAAAGGTTCTAGATGAAGGTATATGCAAATCTGAGCATGGATGTCTCAGTCCAGTAAACAATTCCTGCCTACACTCATTGACAGTAATTGCTGTTTTCACAACCTCTGCCATGATAAAGTTTTGCCTTCTAGGTGAGTGGTCCCAAACTGTTTCATACCACGAGCTAAAGCTGCTCATTCTCTATAGAACCAGAACAAGGGTGGATTTTATGTACTTCAGGAAGTTGATGCAGAGGCCCAGAACACATTTCTTGTTATGATAATCACCAGAATTATTTACTTTCAATAATTTATGTTGTAGGTTTAAGGTGATGGAACTTGCTGAGCTTCTACGCAGTGCACAAAGAGAAAAAATTGCCAGGCAGTGCAGAATTTATGGTCCGATTTCACAACAATACTGACCCATGCTATCGTGTGTATTAGCAGAAATTCGTAATACAAGATTAAGTACATTTTCATCATAAAACCGTTACAAAATAACATATGACTTGAAAAGTCTGACAGTTTTAATGAAATAATGTCACAAATTTTTAGACAGTAGTTACATGTTTATTAAGTAGCCTCCTGTCTTGCCAGTATCCTCCTAAATCTTGCCAGTATCCCAGGTGAGTATCATTGCCTAATTCATTGAGGGATGAGGAATGTTTGCTCTAGGACCCATTAAGTGCTGCTTTTCATACATTTGGAGAATCAGATTCACCTAAGCTTCTAAAGGCAGATGCTTTATCTTCTATTTTTCTGTAAAATGCCATGCATGCCCATGGCACCACATAAATAATAATGAATCATCTTCACAGATTTTATGACTGAGGGCCTGGTTTGGGAACTAAACAATCTCCCAGTGGCTATAACATAGGTTGCAAAATTGTAATGGAAAAAGGCCAGAGAATTCTTCTCAGAGTCTCAAGGCCAATAAATCATAGGACTGTTTTCTTCCATTGCTGGCTATTCAGAAATTTCCTTTTGTTTCTCAGAGAAATGATTTTGAGAAAATTACTAGCTCCTACTATGTGCATGTGTGGGGACATCGTTCTCTTATTTCGCCAACCCATAACTTCTCGAGGGAGGTAAGAGCTTTCTGCATGCCAGGGCAGTATTTTGAGATCATGAGCAGTGTGAACTGGCATTGCTTTTCTTTATGGATTGTCATTTTCCCTGTTAAACTGCCTTCTGCCCCATCATGTGCCAGCTTTTGAGGCAGACTGTTTCCCCCAAGACTCCGATGCTGCTCTAAATTGATTGAGCAAAAGTCAGAGACATTGGCCCAGACACCCATGGGATGCTGATTCCTGCAGGTGGCACAGAGATGTTCAAACCACCAGATCCAGACAACTGGCCCACAGCAGGAGTTGTGCCTCACATCTATAACAGTTCTCATTTTCTCACGAAGGCAGCTGTCTGTGAAACATTAAGTCACTGTGGCATTTTGGCTCTGCCCCAGTTTACATTGGATGGGTTGTCTCCCAGACATGGTGAAAGCAGTGGTAGCAGGAGGCACGGTGGAGACACTTCTGTGCTGGGTGTTCCTCCTGATAGCTGTGCTGATGGCTTGTGTTGTGGAAGATTTGTGGAATGATGATCTGTATTGTTACTCGGTGAAGTTCTTGTACTGGGTTCCATCAGCAGCTGTTTAAATACCACAAACTATTTTGTGCGTGCTCAATTTTAATTACCTCGTTCTGAATCCCCACTCTTCACCATTCACTTGTGTCAGCTGTCCTTGCAGAGATGTTTGCTTTCAGAAACATTTGTAGAAAATGCACATTTTAAGGAAATGAGCATTTGCCAAGAGAGAACTTAAAACCTGCAATAGGAATCTTGCATGGAAAAAAATCTCAGTGCAAGTTTGGCTCATCCAGCTGAGCCATCAAGGCCTGTCCAGGCAGTCAGAGCAGGCTCATTGGTGAAAAACCTCAGCAAATGCCTCATCCATGAAGTGCAGACTCTGGAGCTAGAGGCAGGAAGAAAACTAAATGCAAATGTCTAAATAACTAACTCCTGAGGGTTGGATATTCCAGCAACTTCCTTGACTTCAGGCTTCCCATGGAATATTAGGTTCCTAAATAAAAGGAGCATGCTGTGAAATTTTCTTATTGAAGTTACATCTGATGAACTCCAGTTGCACCTAGATTTAATTTGCGCCTCAAAACCAGCAGTAACAATGACCTGGCACATAGTTTCAGAGTCTCCTGTGCATACAACGGACAAAATCTCTTAAAACAGTATTTCCCCAAATTAACTTTCAAATGGTGTTTACTTTTACTTGGATAGGATGAGAAATTTCTATGTCTGTAGTGCTGCTGCAAGCTCTTTCTCTCCTCAGCAGCATGTGTTTCGTATCCTTATCTCATTAAATGTATACTTCCGCTGTGCTGAGAAATAGAACACGAGTTTGTTTATGGAGGTTAGTATCTCATTCCCTCTATGACTTGATGGTTACATTTGTGTGATAAACTACTCCAGCCATTTGTCACATTTCCTGCATGCACAAATGAGATTAGTGATCTTAGTCAGAGAGGTCGGTCTGTCTTGTGAGCAGACAAAACAGATTCTCTTTTTGGTAACAGGATGAGAGGCCTGTCTACCTGAAAATGCACTGATTTGTTGAAAAGTACACAGAGTATCAGAAATTAGAGTTAGAACTACTTGAGGTTTTTATACATCACTGATACATATCCACACTATTTGTCAAGTTTTTTTCTGGTAGTTAACTTTGAACCAAACATGGTTACAAAGTAGCTACAATGAGTATAAGATAACTCATACAGTTTGTTATTAATGGACAAAAAGTTGCAGTTGTTTATAAGGTTGAGAACACTGTAGAGACAAACTGAAGCTGCAGCTGAATTTGACTCAGTTTTGTAGAGAGGATGGAAAAGGATAGAGCTGGGGAATATGTGGTAGCTTAAAAAAATAAACAAAAAACCTCTTCCAATAATTTATGTAGTTTATTTATAGAGCATCTGTGCAGCTGTTCGTCTTCTGAACTGGAAGGGGCTAAAATGTGGGAGTGAATGAAAGAATAAACTTGAAAGCATATGGCAAATGGATAGCCAGTGAGCCAACCTGTCTGAGTGTGCCTTGGAACAAAAGTACAGGAGGATGAAACGTCTTTGTTTGGTTTTATTTGTTCTGGAAAGGTTTTTTTAAAAAAATAAAACCAGTAACATACACTTGGCTCCAGCAGCAGCTGATTTTTATTCTGAGCTTCTGTAAAATATCAAAGTCTTTGTAGCCTAGTCAAATCCCTGGCAGCTGATCAAATTCTGTTGATTTTACATCTTCCTTGTTGAGCGCAGGAAACCAGTGTCTCAGATAAATTGGGCTGGAGCTTGTAGAGAGAGAGAAATGTGCAGAACACCTTAAGGCAGAGACTCGTGGGTCATCCAGAGTCAGCTCAGCGCTATCTGCAACCTTCATTCCACCTGCTTGGTGATGTAGCATGAGAACAGTTATCCCCTGGGTGAAGCTGAACCTGAGGTGACTCAGGCAAGTGCTGGGTCTGCTTGGACCCCAGTCTGCCCCTTCTTGGCTGCTCTCTTAGATGATCTTGTTCATTTTTGGAACTGGCTTTCCAGCCAGTTTGGATCTGTGCTGGCAAAGATCTTTACAGCCATCCAGGACTCCTCTCCTCTGCTGTGTGCTCAGTGTTGCTGTACAGTGAGGCTGTTGCCCAGAAGAGTTCCCCACAACCACCCTGCCCCTGCCAGATCTCTTTGGCTTGTGCCCATGAGTGCCCTTGCTGGGACAGCCAGTTTTGAGCTGCATTCTCCTGGTTTGCAGCACAGAGATAGTGCTCAGCTCAGCGACCTCAGTAGGAGGGAGGACAGGTACAAATGGCTGCAAAGTGCTGGGAAATCATCAGCAGAAGAACTGTTGACTCTGAAGGTTTATATCCCCTGCAAAGCTCTTTTCATGGCCTCTCTCAGTTTTGTGCCAGCTCAGTGCAGTTCTGTGAAACTCTGAAGCAGATGGTGCCTGCTAAGGAGGCTGTTCTCAGCCAGAAGTCCTTGGTGTGAGCATGGGCAGGTTCGTGCCTTTGGTGCAGTGGTTACAGGGGCTCACTGAAGATCCCACCAGCAGCATTCCCCAGTCCACTCTGTGCTTCGAGGATGCTCTTGTGCTGT